ATTCAGTACCATCCGCCTGTTACTACCACCGATCAGCACTCTGTTGAAGACTCGAAAGCGTTTCTTATATAATCAATAAAAGAAAAACTTATATGCGCTGTAGCAACTTGACGGCACTGCAGGCTGGGAACTGCACGGGTGCCGCTCGTTTTTGGCTGCTCTCAACAAACTTTACCGCCAACAGGCTTGCTGCCTATACATACAGCTTCACTCTCTCTCTCTCTCTCTCTCTCTCTCTCTCTCAATTCCACCATGTCGAGAAAAAGAGCGGAGATTAGCAATCCCAGGCATGACCTCCCTCTACAGAATCCGTCGCCGGCCGCAGAGAGACGCGGAGAGCGCTCTAATTGGTTTCCCTTGCCATCATCAGCGGCGATTGCTCAATTCCGCCGCCGTCGTTTCCTGACCTTCAGATCTGCTTTCCTCTGCTTAATCACCTTCGCCGTGGCCGCGGCTTTCATTCTCTATTCCAGTCGACTCGCGAATTCACGTTTCAACTGGGTAATTTCTGCTTTCTCTCTCTTCATTTCGTTTTCCCCCTCTCTCTGATTTCGATTTTTCTTTTTCTTTTTTTTTTTTGGGCGAAGTTTGGTGAACCTGTACAGCCAGGCAACGTTTCCGGCGAGGTCTACCACTCGCTGGAGGTTTTCAAGTTGGATTACGCTTAAATGGAGAGGGAATTCAAGGTGTACGTGTACCCGGAGTACGACTATGGAGGTCCTCCGATTCAGAGCACGATTTCTGGAAAGTACGCGAGTGAGGCATATTTCTTCAAGAACATCAAAGAAAGCGCGTTTCTGACTAACGACCCTGAGCAGGCGCATTTGTTCTTCATCCCTATTTCCTGCCACAGATTACACCAAAAGGTTCTGCTCTGTTTCCTCTCGTTCGTTACTTTCCTTGTTAATTTTTTAGGCCTTCGATTGATGCGAATATATGTTGAAACTATGAAATGAGTTGCTTCTCTTTGTTTACGTCTGAGAAATAATCTCTGTGTGTGTGTCTGTGTGTGCGTGTGAACTGAAAAATGCCATATTACTGACTGTGCTCTGATATGTGGTTTGTTCTTTGTGGGCAAAAACAAAGTAGTGTTGATTGAATCCAAACGGTGTGAAGTAAAAAAGCGAAAGTATGTGTCTCTAGGCATGGGCATGAAATCTGATTTTTCCCTTTCGAGAAATTCGATTTTTTTTCTTATCTACGCATAATAATTCAGATTTTTTATTTTTCACTTACAATATTATTTCTTTTTATCATACTAAAAGGTAAAAATATATTTGTAATCCTATCATCTGAAGTGATTANTCAACTGAACTCAACTAAAAGTTGTGTCCACTCTGAAAAGCCACCATGCAAAATACGCGCGCACACACACACACACAAAATGAACAATATGTATGCTGAAGAGTATATATGACATCACATCACAGAACAAAATAAACATAATAAAAGTACACATCACAATTCACAAACACACTGCAAGCTTTTTCTACCAAGTAAGAATGGGAATATCAGCTCACCGTGCGCAGGCTGAGTATGGCGGTTGGGGTGTGGGCTCGTGGACATTGATGATTACTGTGGTGATCCTTATGGTCTTTATGCCTCTCGGGATGGGACCCGGCCCAATTAAGCCCCCCTCTTGGGCTATGCTAAGTGTCATTCCAGTGGTCTTGGCCGCTGTCCTATTCTGCCTCATCCATGGCCCGGCATACAAGAACCGTACTAATATTTAGTTGTCTTAAGAAAATATATCGATGTAACTTTCTTGGAACCTTTGATGGGATCGGATAACAAATTATGAATGGTGCTTTGTTTCTGTTATTATATAAAGCGTTCGTGTGATCTTCATTTGTTGCCTCAGTTTTCTGTTTGTTTCTTTTTTTTTTTTTGTTCCTTTGACATAAAGATTTGCGTATAATGTGTGGAAATCATGAATAATTGGTCCCAACCGACTATTATACTTTTAAGTAATTAATTGCATTTCGTGTTAGTTAACATTGATTGGAAGTTTTAGTGTTTTACTGACATGGTTCCCTCCGGTGGCCAGAATATGAGATGATTGAGAGGTGACTGTTCGGGTATAGACGAGAATATTCAGGGACTGGGAATTAATTTAGGCATTATTTCCGCGTTGCACAGAATATTTTGGGAAATATAATATTTTTCAAAATAGTCGATAACACTTGGCGGCCTGTGGACGCCAGGTTTACTTTAACATTTATAGACGTCGGCGTGTGGCATTCAGTGTTCTCACCAGACACCTGCATTATTTAGTCATGAGAAGATGTACATTTTTATTTAGTTTTATTATTTTTTTGGACTTGTTTCGACTATTTTTGTACTAAGACATTGTCCCTTCAGGGAAGTTTTATAAGTTTATAAAACTCATCATTATAATGTGTGTTAGTATAACAATACAATCAAAGGCAGTTATTTTTCTATTATTACCTCTCCCTGTTTATGTTTTGTCTATTGTAGTAAGTAGCAAGTAATTAAACAACTTCTAGAGGAATAAGGAAAATGTGATCAGCATTCAGTTATATGCCTATAGAGCATAATATTGTCTTGTTGGAACATGATTTATCATATTCCTCAGTTGTTTTGAAACAAGGGTTAAATGCAAGATTAATACTAGAGTTTTGCTCTAGTTTCATAAATTTTTATTATCTTCTACAATGTATGTTCTGTTTTCAAATTGAATCTCAAGAGGGAAAAATATGCTTGTTAAATACTAAAATCAAGGGAGGTAGTTCATAGTTGTATAAGTTACATTGGTGGCACTATTGTTTACAACTAGGTTCAGTCCAGGGTTTTCCCAATAAATATCCCTTAAAACAGTCTGCATTATGAAACTTTCTTTGAACACATGGCATGCTTGAACTCATGTGCTAATTTATGTATCCTACTCCTCAAAGAACAGACTCTAGTGAAAAAGTGTATAACAAATATGTACTCTCTTGATTGCATTTCAGGACTTTGGGAGCCGATCATTTTTCCCTGACCTGCCATGACATTGACGTTGGGGCAACTAAAAAGGTCCGATTTCTGGCCAAGAATGCAATTCGGGTGGTGTTCTGCGAGTTATGGTACAGATTTCATCCCTCATAAAGATGTTTCACTTCCTTTAGTAATGCAGCCATTCTCAAAACCTGCAGGACATGAAATGCACGGGAGGTACGTAATTTGTCGTTGAATTTAAATTAATAATGCATGCTTGGAAATGAATATAATTAACGAACTTTAGAATCACAAAAGTGGCTGAAGCTGCAAGTTTAGAAAATGTCAATTAAATAAGTCTAGAAAATGTCTGCACGAGCAAAATATATCCTCGTCGGCCGGGTTAAGTGATAATTGCGAACTTTTAATATTTCCACAAAATTTTCAATTCTACATTATAGAATTCACAATTTCTCGCTCCACAACAGAACTCTTTTCTTCAGTTTCTTCACAACGTTGAATATATATGCCCATGCTGTTTCTTTGCAAGTAATTAAACGGGGTCATATGGTGGATGAATTTATCTTCTTTTTTTTCTTTTTTTCCTTTTTTTCTTGTGGGGCAGGTCAATACTTGGTTATTGGGCAGGGAACCGCAATTCTAAGACGAGACAGAAACTGGTGAAGCGTTGGGGGAAAGATAAGGAACTTGATATCCAGAACTCAACTGCTTATGCTTCAGGCAGAATGGAAAAATTCTACAGGTCCAAGTTTTGCATCTGTCCTGTTGGCTCAAGGGTCCGTAGCAATCGCATCACAATGGCTATTCACTATGGATGTGTACCTGATAATAATTGAATGTTTCTCAAAATTCATTTGCTGCACAAGTTTTGTATATAGATTGTTTGAAAACTCTGCATTGTGTGTTATTATCAATTTAGGCAATTGGATATGTTGGCAGATCATTTTGTATATAGATTGTTTGAAAACTCTGCATTGTGTGTTATTATCAATTTAGGCAATTGGATATGTTGGCAGATCATTTTCACTTGCCATTCAGTAATGTTCTCGATTGGCGGAAGTTCTCTGTAATAGTGAAAGAAAGAGAGATTTGTAAGCTCAAGAAGATTTTGAAGGCCAGTGAAAATTACAGAATATTGCATGCAATCTACTCGAGGTAAATTGGCTAATTAGGTTTGTTATTGTCAATATAGAATTTGGAACTAAGTGTGATTATGACTTTCTGTTATCAGATTGAACTTCATGTTTTTTACTTTCTATAACTATAAATTTTTTTTTTTTTTTAAATCATGTGAATCAGGTGCAGAAACATTTCCAGTGGAACGCAATCCCAGCCTTCCACATGATCCTTTATGAACTCTGGTTGAGGCATAACGTTGTCAAATACTTTTAAGAAAAAAGGCTACTGGAAAATCTTGAATTTTGTAGCAACAATAATCATTTGTCTTTTGAGTGACAGCACAACTTGCACATTCTGATTTTTCTTTCATTTGCAGCTTACGAGGTTTTCATTATTAGTCAGATGGTTGTATATGGATTCAACTAATTTTTATTTGGTTTGTTTTTAACTATAGTTAATTTTGAAAAAAAGAGATATGGTTAGTTGTTAGTTGATATATTAAAATAATATTTAAATAACATAATTAAAGTTGATTTGATGTAAAGTATGAGAAAAATGATTGGAAGTGATGATTAATTAAAATTATGTGAGTAGATGAATAGTGAATTAAAATTGATTTGATGTGTAAGACTGATTGGTTGATATTATTTAATTATATTGGTAATATTGAAGATATTATTTAATTATATTGATAATATTAAAGATAGTGAGTTAAGTTAAAGTTGAGTTAAATTTGAATTTTAATTGATTTTTTTACTATTCAATTTATATCCAATCGCCCCCTAAGTACTTGCTATCTAATACTTAATAAAGACATAAATTAATAAATTATATAATATATATGACACACACACACACACCCACACCTATTCTCTTGCTAATTTTGTTAAAATCGTGTTCTGACACCAACGTAAATCTCCAATCCCACCCTGAAAAATTTATTCACAAAAACGTAAAGGAACAAGTGAGCCATACAAGATGTACTCGAAACCACAATCAAGCAAAAATCAGATTAGGAGCTAATAACGAGATTATCAAAATAAGCTCAAACTTCACCTGAATTGCAAAGGCTCAACGCATGGAAAAGCTCCATTTAATGTTTCGCTTAAACGCCTATGCATGAAAGTCAGCGTAAGATAAACAAATGCAGCTTTTCTAGTAGTGTTGCTCGTATGAACACCAAATCTGGCAATTCCATGCCAACATATATAGACAAAATGCAAAGAAAAAAAAGAAAAAAAAGAAAGGGGTTTGAGTACAATATGTGATCCACATATACCTGACCACCCTCAGTACCAAAAATATATGTACATTTTACTATTTTACTGCTTAACAGCAACCAATGTCAGTTACGACTGGAAACTTCATTGGCTACAGGTACGCCGGCAAATTCTTATTTTTACTGCAGAGCAGGTCAATGAATCAGTTGTCACCACTGGAAGACGTTTTCACGTTGGCTGGTGGCAAGACACCATTTGCTTTATCATCAAGCTGGGGGCGAAAAGAAAGTAAATTAACAGGTACAATTTAAATTCCACAACCTCTTTTTAATAAAATCTTATCAGTTATCCTTTCAATAATAGGCATCTCCTTAACATATTTGATATCTTTTACAAATTGCATTCTTAAAAGGGAGTGTCTGTAACTTTGTGAGATAACATACAGCATTTTGTGATTAAGCAAAACCTCAGGAGTGGGTTTTGTAATTTATCTATTTTGAGAAGTGAAACTTGCCTCCATAGCGTGTTGCTGCACTCCAATAACGGGAACTTTCGAAAGGTCTCTCATGACTCCCTGCAAAAGGAAGGATAAGAGAGTTTAGGGACTGTCTGCAGAAACTATGAAAATGTGATTGATTGCCTGACTCAAGGTGGACGAACATTTTTATCAAGTGTATGGAAATAGCCACATATTCATGTTTCCATAAATTGTCAAAATAAGAAATATAGCTTCCAAAGCTATTGAAAAGAAGATTTAGCTACATAGGATGACAAGATAATTTTCTCTCAAATATAAATAATTCTGTAATACACAGAGGTCCCGAAGCTTATTTATGTATGAAAAGCAACTACAAGCCAAAAAGAAGAATAAAAGTGTGCTTACTCAATCACGCGGTAATTTAAAGGTTGGCAACAAAAATTGCACTGAACAGTAGCAGAAGATAATACAAAACGCATAGCTAAAATAGATAAAACTAGTGACTAGTGAGCTGCACCGTATTCATGATCCTACACACACCTTGCTAGCCCATTTGAGACCACATGCATTGCACAGAGTTCGTGGGCCATCTGGTCCACGCCGCATCATAGGAGTGGATTTTGAGCTAATCCCACAATGCCGGCATCTATTGAAAGTCGAGCAACATTAGCATTATTTCTAAAAAGTCATGAAGGGTATACAAAAAAAGACACCTCTGCAAATCAAAATCTGAATTTTGTTCAATTATGAATTATTAAAAATCCAAAACAACAAGCATGATGCAATAAATAGCTGTTCATGATTACCAGCAAAGAAATAACATAACAGAACTCAACTCCAAAAGCAATCGAAATACGGGCACTCACAAGGTCTCCTGCTCTTCTGAGCCCGAATTTCCATTCCAATCGACAGATGAACCCATTTCTTCGCCAACTGATTTGGACGATGTGAACTGACCTTTCTTACGCTGCATNAAAAAAACAAACAAACACAAAAAAAAAAAAAGAAAAACAGAAAAACAACACAGCAGACATCATTTACTGAGAGATGAAACCACATGCAAAAACCCTGTTTCTATATTCTACGACCACTTTACATGAAAACATCCTTTGACATAAAAACTTGCATGTTGTATTACATTTAATTGTATGTTAGCATCCTTCAGAATTGTCCTGTTATCACCATTGATGTGTCACATCAACTTTCCAGACCATTTAAAACATGAGATACAACCGAAGGATCAAGAACAGTCTCACATCATGTCAGAGATTGTAGACAACTATGGCTGGAAAAATAAATTAGGGAAACTTGCAAACATTCCACCTTTTCAATTTGTAGATGCAAAAATGCCACCTTCATCTTTTAGATCCAAAATAACGATTAATATTATGACCAAGTGTTGTACTGTTTCAAATACAATGTGAAGAAGTGGCATTTCATTTTTTTTTTTTTTTCTTTTTCTCAATATATTATTCTTGAATTCTTCTTACTACCTGAGAGCGACTTCCTTGCGGACAGTATAGCGAATCTTTTTCTCGAAACATCTTTCTTTCCTCTTTTCTCTAAAACGGTTCAAAGAGGCAGCTCGATGTGGCTGGTTTGACCTTACAGGATAATCACCCAAGTTCTGTAAAAGCAAACGGAGACAATAGAATACTCAACCCTAATATCAACAGAAATTGGATATTGGGGATATAGCTATTTGATGCATACGCTAGGGTTTTGAGGAGACGGTCCAGGAGTAGTGATGCCAGTAGGTACTTCACAACCTCCCAATAATAACAAAACTGCCTGGACCTGAAAAGTATATGAATAAATAGCACAATTATACCCCTAAACCTTGCAATAGAGCCCAAAAAGACCACACACCTTTACATGTTCTGGAGTTGTTTAATCAACTGGAAACCCCAAATAACAAGTCAGCGAAAAACAAAAAAAAAATACAACTGAACAACCTTGCAGTAGTATAATAACAATTTTCAGCTCAAGTAATAAAGATAATTAATTAACTTCGCTGCATAATCATCACCAGCTAAACCAAACTATAATGAACAGAAATGAAACCACAAAAATCCATTGCTTGAAAGAAATCCCTAAAGGAAAAGGGGCAAAAATCCTCACAGAGAATAACCCTTCACAAGCAAACCTAAACAAAAAACTCCACAAAATTGACGACAAAAGATAAAATCAATTACGAAACTAAGAACAAAAAGAGTAACCTTTTCGGGAGTAACCGAGTCGAAAACATAAACTTCTCCCTGAAACGAAAGGGTGAGCTGGTCGGCCCCGCCTTCCCCGGCGGCGGGTGGAACCGGATGGGCCATATCCGAGGCGTAGAGCCCGTGAGGACCACTCGCTTCCATGGGCGCCTCGACGACGGCCAGCGCGTGCGGCGAGTGAGAATCGTTCGCAGGGTTGTACCTGATCTGGGATGGCGGGTTCTCAATGTACTCGTCCCCATTAGAGCACTGGACGATGTCTTCGTCGTCGTCTTCATCGTCGAGATGAGTTGCATAGATACGGTGGTCGGCGGTGGAGGTATTCATGGAGGCGTGCGGTGGCCCGTACATGGGAGAGATTTGCCTTGTGTATGTATGTGTTTTTCACAGCTTCATTTTATTTATTTGTTTATTTATTAATTGAAACACTTTAATGAATTTGAATAAAAAATGTAGCAATAATCCGTTATTTGGATAGTTTTATTAAAAATGAATTTCAATTGTTGATGGTAGAAAAAGAAAAGTGAAAAAATAGAAAAGAAGTTATATTGAGATTTTTTTTAACACATACATCAAATAGCATTTGAAGATTTTGTGGTTTCGTTAGACAAGAAAGAAATAAAGAAATAATATTCTGATTTTAGTTTAGGGTAGTGCTTCATGTACAATTTCTTTGGAAAATGACATATACAATTATGTATATCATGATAATTAGAAGTAAAATATCGTCCAATCACAAAAAAAATGAAATTGGTCAATTTTTATTTTTTTACGTAAATATTTGTTCCACATATTCCTAC